TTATGAGTCAGATTTTCCATGAGTTATTACCGATTACCAAAAAAAGATAAGGAACTCTTTTAGGGAAAGACAATGAAAAGAAAAGAAAAGAGAAGAGAAGAAAAAACAAAAACAAACCAGGAGATGCATTTATTCTTTTGACTTCTTTAACCTTCTTTTTTACATAGATTTGATTCACTGATATATTTATGCTGTCACAAACTTTGTGGTGTGTTCAGATATATTGCGGGCAGTGACAGGCTGCAGATTATGAATGTCAACCTTAGCGACCAGGGAATGTACACATGCATAGCTAAAACAAGCTTGGATGAGGACAATGCCACAGTGCTACTAACAGTCCTAGGTAAGATTCTGTAACCTGTTCACTGTCATGGAGAAATTCTTAAAAAATGATTACTTTATCGTTAAATTGACTGCTGTCTTTTCTGCATAATGTGCTTTCTTTTCCACAGAGGTTCCTGATGCTCCAAAGAGCTTGAAGATATCTGAAAATAAGGATGAGAGGAACATTGTGCTGGTTTGGATACCTGGGAGTGATCACAACAGCTCTGTTAAAGGTAAATGTTATAATAAAACAAAAAAGAAAAAGATAAAATCAATGTGGGAAAAATGGATATGGGTTAATGGTCTAGTGGTGCTAAATCATTTGTAAAAGAAAAACATTTACCTAGACATCCCTGCAGTTGCTTCACCTGCTAGTTTACAGACTGTTAAGATGTAACTACTGGTTAATTAAGGCATGATTACTGTACTGTGTGTTTGGAGTTCAGGTATCTGCAAATATGTAAATTCTTATAAAAAAACATTATTTTTTTCTTACTCATTGATTACACATTCATTAAATTGAAGCAGTATTTTGTGATGATATTGCAAAATATTTTTTAACAACAAATCTTGCCATTGATATCCTACTGCAGAACTCTGACATTTGATAGTATGCAAACAGATAGCTGTGATGTTATAAATGGTAAGAACTCTGTGAAAAAAATCTCTTAGCACAGATTGTTGATTAAAGTTTTTCTTTATTTCCTACAAATAATACATACACAAATCAAATTATTCTCGAAAGTCCTTCTGTGAAAGGAAGATTGCTCAGATTTTACTCTCATGATCAATAAGGAATTCTAATATTCTTCAGCAGAGAAAGGCTGCAAATAACAGATAAGAGCTGAGAAGCCTTCAGTTTTGTTTCAATTAAAAACTAATTTACCTTTTGAACGTACTTTGATGATAGCAATTTACGCTGACAAATGTTACATGTACTCTTTTTATCATGAGTTTGTTTAAGAACCACCAATTAGCCACAACTTTGAAACCCCTTGGAGTGACACATCTCAAGTGAAATGTTCCAAAAGTGCGTTGTGTGGCATTCACATAAATGCAACTCTGACATTTAAAGCCTATTTAACGCCTTAGTGTGTTAACAGACATTTGGACTCTGACACCCCCCAATATCTTCTACCAAAAAAAAAAAAACACATTTAGAAGGGCTTCATTTTTTACTATTGTTTTTGATAGAAAAGGTATTGTGTGCAGCCTTGAGTTTTAATAAACGTGAAGAATACGGCACAGTTTTCTTACAATTTGAATCTTTCCTTGCCATCACACATTCACACTGTCCAAGAAATGCCTACTGCAGCCGTGGTTTAAATGTTAAATGAATGAGACACAAGATAACTTTTTATGTGCATTTAATTGCACCACTAATTATTTACTTCTTGTGGTTTACTATGAACAAATGACACAAGTAAAGAAAAAGCTCACTGAAAGCTTCTTCTCACTGGCAGCACCTGCCTTTTCTTATGCATTTCTGTACCTCTTGTTCCATAGCCTCCACCTATTACAAGGTGTGATACCATTAGTACCCACACTTACCTCAGAGCCAAAGGTAGCGGACATCCTTATAAAAACTATTCCATAGTTCTATTGTATGTAAAAAAAAAAATCTCCAGAATAGTCTTCACTTTTGATATGAAATTAGTAATATCCAAGCAAAAACATACTGAGACCAGGATGGAAAACGCAATAAAACGGTTGTATATTGGATGATTCTAGAATGGGTGATATGCTATAATTTTCAGCAAACTGAGTGGAGAGTCTTGTCTCAGATTTTTACCAACTGATATGTTAGTGGCATCAACAGTATCATATAAA